TGGACTTAAAGCCTCCAAATTGTAAGAATAAACTCCTGTTTGTTAAGGCCATCCCATTTGTGGTATATTCTTGTCAGAGTAGCACTAAGTAACCAGAACATCAAGTTAGATTTGCATTTGACAATTTATACACAAAATATTCAGTGACATTATTTATATTGATCATAATTTGTCAACATTCCCTTTAATTATATTGTTTGCTCTATTTCCAGTATTCTAGTTTTCCTGTCCCCTTTTCTTCTCACCTTTGCTTTTCAGTAACTGTTGACTTTTTGGTCTTGTACAGATGGTCTTTAAGTAGAGTACTGATCTTACAGATAATATCCTTTATTTTCTGTGTCACTCTTTCTCTAAAACACTATCTAGGGATAGGGTCAGTAATAGGTTTCTAGTATCTCAGAGTGATAGTCTCAAGGAGTCCTTAACTTTTCTAGTTTGTCTGGATTTTTTTGTGTTTGGTAGTAAAAATTTGCTCCACACTTTTCTCCCTTTGTATCCAGGACCATCCGTTGTGACCTAAAGCAGAACAATCAGGGATGGTAGCCCAGCACTATCTATTTCTTTTGGTTTCACATTAGATGAGGTTGTGTCCCTTGTAGACCTGTTTCTTCTTTGTGCTTTTGGTTACCTCTTTGATGTTTTGCTCCTGGCCACTAGATACCTGTAGTTATGTCTTAGATGGACACTTATAAGCTTTTAAGACTCCAGGCAGTACTCACTTCACTAGTACATAGATCATGATTTTTGTCAACTATGTTATGCCCATTCACTTAGTTTTCACATGAGACTATGGTCCTAGCTTTCAAACCCAGAAAATCAATCTTGGAAGGTATATGGTTATGTGTGAAGAGTATCCATATTTGTGCTGTCAGTGAATATTTGTACCTCTACACATGTATGTGTATTTCATGTCCATCCACCTATAAAAAGAGCCCTGGTGGTACAGTGGTTAAGCACTTGGCTGCTAACTAAAAGTTTGATGGTCCAAACATATCAACAGCTCTGTGGGAGAAAGATGTGATAATCTTCTTTCATAAAGATTTACAGCCTTGGGAACTCTATGGGGCAGTTTTACTCTGGGATAAATTTACTATGAGTAGAAATATACTTGATGGCAATGGGTTTCAGGTTTATACACATTCTGTCTGTTCTTAAATATGTACATACTTATATCTACCAATATGCTTATTCCCATCAATTTTTGCTCTAACACTCATTTTTACTTTGGTTGTACTGTGGTCACTACATTTGGTCACTACATTTGGTCACCAAAGTTAACAAGCTTCTACAATCTAAAAACATATTTTCCCTTTCCTCTCCTCTTTCTGGTAACCACCAGTGAACACTGACCTCTCTCTATTCTTGTCTTCTTATAAAAGAGGGACCATACAGTATTTGTCCTTATATGCTTGACTTTTTCTCTTAGCATTATGCCTTCCAGGTCCAACCATGTTGAAATATGTTTCATAGATTAATCATTTTTCTTTATGGTTGTATAGTATTCCATTGCATGTATGTACTACAATATGTTTATCCATTCATCCATTAATGGAAATTTCAGTTGTTTCCATTTATTTGCTATTGTGGATAAAGCAGCAATGAACATAGTGTGTTCATGTCATTATTTTTAGGTCTGGATCATAGACAAGTTCTATTTCTATTTATATTTGACAAAGGACTATACTGTATTCCATAAAGGTTGTAACATTTTACAGTCCCACCAGGAAAGGATAAGGGTTCCAATCCTCCCACTTCTTTGCCAATATTTGTTGTTATTTATTTAATCAATGTCATTTTAGCTGGGGTAAGATGGCATATTACTGTATTTCTGAATTACATTTCTCTAATGTCTAATAATCAGAATGTGGAATGTAGTAAGTATGGATCTAGGAAAATCTCAAGTAGTCAAAAATGAAATGCAACACATAAAGACCAATATCTGGGCATTAGTGTTTTGAGTCAGATAATCATATTGTCTACTGTGTTGGGAATGAGAAATTGAAGAGGAATGGAATTTCATTCATTATATAAAAAAAAAAAAAAAGAATGTTCAGGTTCTACCCTGAAGTACAATGATGTCAGTGATAGGATAATATCCATACACCTATAAGGAAGATGAGCTAATGCCATTTTTATTCAAATTTATGTACCACCCACTAAAGCCAAAAATGAAGAATTATTATTTTTTTTCCCAACTTCACACTCTGAAATTGACCAAACGCACAATCAAGCTGCATTGATGATTACTAGTGACTGGAATGTGAAAGTTGGGAACAAAGAAGAATGATCTGTGGTTGGAAAATATGGCTTTAGTGATAGAAATGATGCTGGAGATCACATGATAGATTTATTCAATATCTTTTGTCAACAACATAAGTGGTGGCTATATACATGGGCATCACCAGATGGAATACACAAATCAGATCAACTGTATCTGTGAAAAGAGGTGATAGAGAACCTTAATACCATCAGTCAAAACAAGGCCAGGAGCTGACTGGAACAGACCATCAATTGCTCATATGGAAGTTCAAGTTGAAGCTGAAGAAAATTAAAACAACTCCATGAGAGTCAAAATATAATCTTGATTATATCTCACTTGAATTTAGGGACCACCTGAAGAATATATTCGATACATTTAACACCAATGACCAAAGAATAGATGAGTTGTGGGATCACATCAAGAACACCATGCATGAAGAAAACAGTCATTAAAAAGGCAGGAAAGGAAAAAAAGAAATGGGTGT